TTAGAATGGTTTGGTTTATTTTGTTTTACGTCATATCAACCTCACTATTATTAATGCCGACAAAATATTTTCTTGCTAGTAATATTTTGTTTTGTCAAAAATTTGTTTCTGGTAATATTTTTCCTTCAAAATTGTATTGCTGATAATAATTTTTTCAATAATAGTTTACTATTAGCCCATAGCTGGGACCCTAACAGGCGCTACCACCCCGGGTCAGGGTGGACCTGGGAACACCAGCAATTAAGAGGTGGTTCCATGCTCCTCAAAACCTCCTGATCAGACGCCTTGCCGCTGGTTTGTAGTCTATCGTCTTACCCAGGAGGCGGATGTAGTTTAACGTCTTACCTAGGACGATCCTGGAGTGTAGTATCAGGAGTAACAAAACTAAGAGAAGAAATCCCAAATTGCAATCTAGGGCTATAGAAATTCCTAGGCAAAGAAATATTTCGAAAGACAGCCATCAGCGGAAAAAATGATGGGAACTGGCTTTTCGAATCCGGTTATCCGTTGTTCCAAGAAATAAGACCCAAGATAAACCTTTCCAAAAAAGTAAGTATGATCTTGATTTCAAATGAAAGCATTGATGGTAGCCTACACTGTATCCATAATAAAAAATAGAGGATGTAAAATTGGCAAATACTAAACACTTCCCAGATCTCGATGCATGGATCAGTTATAGCAAATTTAGTATAGGAAATTGAACATAGATTTTAAAGAGACTCGCAGTGATCTACAGTCTGAACAAGGCCAGTTCGTTCAAACCCTCGGTCACGATGACTTGTGATTTCGTTCTAGCACAGCCATCGATGTCACCCAAATATTTCTGTCCACCCATTTTCACTCACAAGGCTTGGGTCTATCCGTGGTATGGTTTTCCGGTAATTTTCAAAGGTACCACACGCTGGGATCGCCTCAGGCCGGTAACATTAAAGTCACATGATGAGATTCGAACCTGGATCTCATTGTCGGAAGGCGAACGTACTAACCCCTCGGATACATTATAGAAGGTACTAACACAACTGGTATATAGTCGGGGTTTGGTGCATTCTAGCTCTCACATGTTTGCGCCGATGAAAGATGAACTACGCTGGCCACCTTTTGCTGACAACGATGCTGTTATCGGTCCTGTGTAAAAGTAGCTCACCTCAGCTGGTGCAAATTTGTTTTTAGTTATCGCGGCATATCGGTTATCATATGGCAGTGAATGCTGGACAGTCTCCTCACAGATGAAGAAGAGACTTAAAGCAACAGAAATGAGCACACGTGAGCAAAGACGGAGTTTTAGAGAGATAATGGAATCAAAAAGGATATTTAACATCAAAAACTGACCGTTGAAACCTTTAGGGCACATAATGAGAAAAGATGGCTTAGAGAATTTGACACTCACAGGCCATATTGAAGACAAGAGGGACAGTGGAAAGCAGCGTATAACCTTTGAATGATTGGCAGAACAGGAATTAGGAGAGATAGCGAAAAGATAAAATTTGCTAAACGTTACAAAGTATAGGAAGCTGTGGAGAGCTATGATCGCCCATGGCCTGAAACGACACGTCACATTGAAGAAGAAAAATCAGAAGAAGCAAAATAAAAAGAAGAATTATGCTGTCTCTTTCCTGAGGCACAGAAACACCATCAATGTTATATTGCCCTTTCAGATTCAATGCAATAATGGCAGTTCCCTATATTCGTTTGAACACCATGGATCACATTGCAAATAGTTCTAATTTGGAGACTTTCTAATTTCATATCTACGTATCGAAGAAGACGGGAATAGGAATACGTTATCATCGCTCTTGTGTAAAAGTAGTTCGTTTCCGTTGGTTCAAATTTTACGAGGGCTGCATGTAATCAATTTTCATCATTGACACAAATACATCGTCAAAAGTGATGACTACCTGAAGGAGTTATATTTTTACCTATAACAACATATTCTATCTAAATGTTTTCATTTTAATTCCTGTATGTGTTTCAGTATTGCTGCCATATTTCAGCTGTATCTACTCTATCCCCACGTTCCATTCTTGGTCGGGATCCTTTAAGGAATGAATACCCTCAGTAACCTCTTTTCCACGACCATACATCGCTAGCCTATCACTACATCTAAAGTCAATGTTCAGATGCTTTCCAATCTTTAAACCTTTAAAAAATACGACATGCTATTTCCACGGAGTCGAATCATCGACATTTCTTCCGTATTCCAAATACAAAGGGAGTTGCACTGAAGCTGCTTCTCTATTTTGTGGAACTGACTCCCACGTGGTTCTCTCTATTGTTCTTGTTCATGTAACGGCATTCACCCGAGATGGGTTGAGCCGGCTCCAATATTGCAGTCTCATGGGAATTTTGAATTCACAAGCGGTCCCCAACACGCATGTATAGCACATAAGATTTGATTATAGTGGTGAAGGTTTCGTGCAGGACCATCCACACTTTTTGAAGGGCCGATTACAGAGACCTACGTGCCACAAGGTCCCAAAACGACCCTCCGCAGGTTTTCCTT